CCTTATTGTTGTTTTTCAATTAAAAAAATTACCTATGTATCCTTTAAAGAATAGCAATTAAAGAAACTTAATAATCTTATGGTTTTCAGTTCTCCTTAAAAATCAGGTGTGCCTTTTTTTACTTTAATCAAACTGCCCAACCTTCCCCTCCTTGAAACTTCCCCTGAACTTAGAGATGGGTGATACATGTCCTGTTTTTTGTCTCTTTGACTATCCTGCTTCCTCTCAAACTTGTTTGTAACACTATTCTAAACTCTTTGCTTTCAACAGATCTAAAAAAACATACGATAACTTTTTCCAAACACACTTCACCTGTCAGAGAGAGAGATTCGTGTAAAAGAAAAAGGTTGGTGTATGGTTAGTGATAGTTCTTTCTTAAGTGCTGTCAGTCACATGACTGAATATTGCTTTCAAGGGTTTTCGGACTAGTGGTAAACAGAGATTGGTGTAATTACAGATTATTGCCGTGATAGTCTGAAATTATAAAGAAAAACACTGAGGACGAGGCCATCTTTTTTACTAGCCATTAGATTTTATTTGAAAATGCAGTATTTCTGGTCACTGATAAAGTGTTGATGAGAGTTGTGGCTGAGATTGAATAACTGAAATTAATTTGTTCTGGAATGGAAGCACTAATCTTCCTCTGAAAATCTTAGAATACTTAATCTTGAAGGGGGAGAGCTTGTATGGAAGTTTCAATTAATTATTTTTTTTTTTAATCACTCAAATAAAGATTCTGGTTTCTCTTTGGAATCAGTTTGTGTTTCTGTATGAAACTATCCTTAAACAAGAAAAATGCTTAATGCTTAATGAAATTCTAAATTATAAATTGCAATAGAATTATTTGTAAGTATTAAGAGTTGTTAAAAATAATTCACTCAGTTTAATGGCTGGAGTGACCATTTTCCTTTTTTTATTCATGGCCATTAAATGCAAAACAGTTGGAATGAATATTTAGCTATTTAGATAGTTTATGCTCATTTATAAGGTCTTTTGCATTCACTTGCTCTCATTAGAAAATAAAAAATCTTCCATCTGCGTTATAATTTAGAAGACACCTTTTTCTTTCTCCTTAATTCAAATTAGATCTCTTTCGGCCAACTCTCGGAAAGAAGACTTGAAGGAAGTTCGCAAGGATCACACAAAAATCGAAGTGACTCGGAGAGACAACTTAAATGAAGTTTATAGAACTTCACATGAAAATCAAATGAAAATTGGAGCAAGTCTGGCTGGTGTTGAGAAGATACAAATAGGTAGTTCGGTGAGTATTTTTACTTCATTGTGTCAGTGAGACACTTGCAGTATTTATGACAGCTTCCAGTAACAGGCCCTCTACAACTCCCTTGGTTTACAGTTTTCTCTCAAGCAATTTGAAAATTGCCATGAACGTTTCCTTGGTGTTGACATCTAATTTCTGACAGAAAAGATTGCAGCTTTCTTTAACATATAAAATGTGTTCTGTTGGCTTCATCTTTAGGTACAATTTGATGGCGTGGGTGGTCTTTCTGACCACATTTCAGCTTTAAAAGAGATGATCATTTTGCCGTTGCTTTATCCTGACGTCTTTGAGATACTGAAGTTTAAACCTCCCAGGTAACAGGCACCATTTAAAACTGTAAGTTAGAATTGATCTATTTTCAGGAGAATCTTCAACTGAGGTATCAATATATTTCCATGCCTCAAAATTCTCAGCAGTGCTGATGGGGATTTTTAGCACTAGTGAAAAGTAATTTTTTTAAAAAGTGATAGAATACAGCATATATGGAGGTTCAGAGATTTACTATGTGGCGAGACTATGCCTTTAAAAGGTAGGGTTGGAGATTTTTTCTTTAGAGTCCTATGTACAAGCAAACTTGATTAGTTTGTAAGCAGAAAAGAATTATCTACTGGTAGTCAACTATAATTTGTTTTTTGGAAGTCCAGTTCTCTCTCCCACCAACTCTTTGTTTTTCAAGTGCTCAAGTATCAGTTTTACAATTGATAGGACTTGCAACTAGGACCTTGCAGTGTTTGTTGTGCTTAGGCTAAAATAAGAATCTGTCCACCACCATAGCTGAGTTCTGTGTTACAAAATGAAATTATTAGAAACTTGTTAGCTTTATATATTATTTGTCAGCAGAATTCAGTCATGAATCAGTATATTGAAACAGGACTTTAAATTCTTTACTTTCAGTAACTTTAAAAGTATTACAAACATTGAAAAGAAAATCTGTGTTTTGCTTCTTTATTTGTTGAAATTCTTTTTGAATCAGCAGTGCACTGGCTTTTCTAGTTGATGGGAATGCAGGAATACAGAATACCTTCTCCTCTTCCTGTATCACCAGCAAAGGGAGATCAAATCCAATAATCTAACGCTTTTTAAGTCAGAAGTAAATGCTTTACTCTCAAATCTTGCCTTTTGTGAAAATGAGAATGAATATGCAGTGTATCACTGGAAAATGAACTAGTGATTCCTAAGTTAGCCCAGACTCAGATTTTGTTTTGGAGGTTTGTTCTTGTTTGGCTCCACTGTGCTGTAACCATCTCTGCTGGTTTGTCAGAAATTTTGGAAGCATCGTTCTGGAATGCTACTTACCATCTTTTCTCAAGGTTTTGTACATCTGCATTATCCTCTTATTAATTTTGCTTGCTGCCTTGTAGGATTGTGTAGGAACTGACTTTTGACTTTTTTCATACTTTTCAGCTGTTACTGCTCTCTTATCCATTAAGTGTTTAGTTTAGGAGAGCAGTGTGTTTTAAGGATGGTGGTTGTAATAGGCACTTTTCCATGATGTTTTTTTCTTATGAGATTTTTTTTTTTCAAATT